GCTCTTTTAAGAATATTTATGGGATCAAATTGCAACAGCAACTCTAAAGATTGGCAAGGATCCTTAGCAGGGCAGGTATTTTATGTTAATGGGGGAGGAACAACGAAAAAATAGAGCGTGAGATCGGTTGCAAACTCACAGAATGTAATCAATGTCATTAAATGGTACACTTAGAAATTGCTAAGTTGGGGTGTATGTATATATATGTACACACATATATTGTATATGTTCTCAACAGCAACAAAACACATAATTTAAATTTCAACTAAGAAATAAATATCAAGAGAGGTTCAATGGGTCAAAAGAGGAAGGAAACAAAAAAAAATGGGTAGGTCAAACCCTTTGATCCTTTTTCCCTAAGTTGTTAGTTCTTGCTTTCAAAATAACTCTCAGGTACAAGGTAACTATCACAGAGAAAATGGAAGAGCACAGACATGGTAGCTATAAAGAATATTTGTGAAACAATGAACTACTGCTTGAAAAATTAATGCACTATTTTGTGTAGGCATTCTATTCTTCATCTTTGTAATGGATAGGGTTCTGTGTCAAGTCGACTAGGCCAGGATTTCCTGTTGAGCAGTTGAAGTGTGCTTATTCCCATGGTGATGAAAACAAATGCAGGCATAGTTAGGTCTATGATGAGTGGCTATCAGCAGCCAATCAATTGAAGGGATGCTTCCTTGGGGATGTGGCCTGCTCTGAATATGAGGATAAGCAGGAGAGACTCTCTCTTCTCCTCTACTAGGGATCTGGGACTCTACAATTCTCAGATAATAAACTTCTCTTTGTATATTTTCATATGAATATGTTTCACAGAGTGTCTGAGTCAGAACTGACTTGAAGGCACTTAATAACAACAGCGTTTCACTGGTTTTGCTTCTCTAGAAAACCTGGCCTAAGATAATCGACAATCATTACATTGAACACATTTTTGAGAGTCTACTGCTAGAGGTGGTTAGATCGTGGTGGTTTAGTGGTAGAATTGTCATTTTCCATGACAATGTAACTCAAGTGCAGCCACCACCCAGCTGTCATCAAAAGCTTATGTGTTACTATGATGGTGAACAGATTTCCGTGGAAATCCCATACTAAGATAGAGTAGGTAGAAAGACCTGGTGATCTACTTCTGAGAAAGAAGCCAATGGAAACCCTATGGATCACAATGATCTGAGCCACTTTAAATGGTTCCCCATTACTCAACGACAGCAGTTAACAACAACAAAAATGTGTCAGATGGTCCCTGGAGGATGCAAATGTTTTCCGTTTCTAATGGAAAGGTTGGAATTTCAAGGCTAGCTTGGAAGAAAGCTAGGTGGTCTTGTTTCTGAAAAAATCAGTCACTGTAAATAAACCCTCTGGAGCATAGCTCTACTCTAACACCTGGGGTCATTGTAAGTTGGAATTTACTCACTGACTATGGGTTTTCTGTGCTAGAAATATGATGAGTGATGGAGAAATGTATGGAACAAACAGGGTCTATACCCTCATAGAGCTTACACTCTAATGAGCCATGAAAACAAATAGAAATGAGAATTATTATTAGAGGAAAACACACAGTACAGTTCTAATTTGACACATGGGAGGATCATAAGTTGAAGTCAACTCAGTGGAAACTGGTTTCATATAGAGCTTTGCAGTTTATAAAGGGCAGGAAGGCCTCACACCACTAGTGATAGTTGCTACAATGTCCTAGTGACAAACTGACGTTCCCTCCAGATTTAAGAACAAAAATGGCCATATGTATTGAGTAGTCACCATTAGGTTCAGCATCTAGGTGACGAATGGAGGCACCAAGAGGCTCAGTGGCGTGTCTTGATATAATTATATGGTTGGTTGGTTAGTGTTATGGAGTCAGTTCCAACTCATATCGACCCTGCATAGGGTTTCCAAGGCTGTAAATCTTTACTGGAGTAGAAAGCCTCATCTTTCTCCCATGGAACTGTGGTTAGCAGTCTGACCAGTAACCACTTAGTGTGGTGCTGTAGGATAAGCACCAGACTGCCAAGGTCAGTGGTTCAAACCCACTAGCCGCTCCTCAGAAATGCTATACAGGAGGGTCGCTGTGAGTGGGCACTGACTCCACGGCACACCACCACCACTATATTCAAAGTCTTGATATGGCGCTGTAAAATAAGCTCTGGACTAATTGTAAAATAAGCTCTGGACCTAAAGGTCAATTTGAACAGCAAGGTCAGCAGTTCAAATCTACCAGCAACTCCTCAGAAACCCTGTACCAGGTCCCTAGGAGCTGGAACTGACTTGAAGGCACTAAAAACAAATACTCTACTTACTATATATTGTATCCTTCTTTAGTTGGTAATTTTCATTTTATTGACTAGTACCAGACAAATGGAGCTCTGGTAGCGTAGTGGTTACGAATCGGTCTGCGAACCTTAAGGTCAGCGGTTCGAAACTACCAGCCGCTCCGCGGGAGAAAGATGAGGCTTTCTACTCCCGTAA